CGATGAAGGAAGCAGGGAAATAACCACTGGTTGTGTCCATGGGCTCAGAGGACCTGCTTTTAGACGGACCTGGGCCAGAACTCCACTTATTACCCTGACTCCCATTCAGTCCTTCCTTGTAAGAATGCAACTTCTCTTTTAGTCAATTGGTGCTGAGTCTGAGAAATGGCTCAAATCTGGAAACTGGACAAAACATCATGACTTTCCACTGGAGTGCCCGACCTCAGCTTCTGCTAACCCGTTATTAATTATGGGTTATCTTCTACTTACGTACCTTTAGCACTGTTCTTTCTGGCTCCCATCTCTCTCGTTCCTGGGAGCACCATATTCTATTAGTCCTCTTCACAGGTCCCCAAAGGTTGGTCCCCTGGCTGACATTCTGACCTGGCTGCCCATTACAGCAATTAGGTGGCTCTAATGGTTAAGTGCTTCTGGTGGCTAAGTGCTGTCACCTTGCTTCTGCTAATCTGGAACACTCTCATCCCCTTTGCTACCAGGAAGTCTAGTTCTTTAACAGCATCTCTTCTCATCAGCCTCAGCTAATGAGCATCTCAAAGATGCCAGTACCCCTTTCACCTGTGAATTTCTTACTGCCTTAGTTTCCTCAGGATACCCTGAGCAAAGTAATCACTGGTGGACTTTCCGGTCTTACATGGTAGATCCATTCTGGCATGCCCACTTCCCTGAGCCTTTTGATTCCTTCCTCCACAGTCTGAAATGGCAATTCTGACTTCTCTACTTCATTGAATGTAGGCTATTGTTTTTCCCAAGCTTCCAAGAGTCATCTGGTAGCATAATAGAAACATCTCTGAGGCGCTTTCCAAGAAATCAAATCCTGTCTCATGGGAGCGTGACCCCATACTGACAAAGTCTCCCTTATGGAGCTTTACATTCTACTCCCTTGGTTCAGCACCTCATGGTCCCCCACCCCCAGACATTGTCCCCATTTTTCCTGGTATATGTTATCACGGTCCAATAAGGCTTTGGCTTGCATCCTTTTCCACTGTTAGCATGGCAAGCACTACCTCAATTGAGTATGGTGAAATGTGATCCCAATTTTGGTCTGGTGTCCAAATGTGGAAGGTGGGAGGAGGGAAAACCCTGTCTTATAAGGGTCTTCTTCATTTGAGATTTCTGCATAGCAAGGGGAGGGGATCACTTCTACAGGCCCCTTGGTTCAGGGGAATAAGGGGATTCAAATGCTGCATCTACCCAGCAACGACATGTAGCCTCATTCCATAGCTCTGGGTCTCACCCCTCCCCTCGTGGGGCCCTGCCTTTAGCATAGGTATGTCTCGATTGAACATGTAGGCTTCTCTGTAGTTCTCTCTAGTAGTACAAGTTAGACCTGCACTAGCTCTTCAGCTTGGTCTTTTCTCTAGCTGCAGGTGATGAGAATCTCTTGAAATGCTATCAAACAGGCCCTCTGCCTCTCACACATCACTTTTAATTCATGATTCGCTGACCTGAGCCTGTCATTTCCTCTCTTCAGTACATCAGTGGTGCCCAGAAGCAGCCGCCCAATTCTACTGACCCTTCAATGACTACTTCCCGACATCTCTCAAACGCCCGTGACATTGCACCAGCCAGTATATTCCCTTCCACCCTCAACATCTTCCCTCTTACCACAGGCGAAAGGCTGCCTGGGAAGGTATGCCAAGGACTGTCAATACTTCACCAAGGTCCTCATGGCCTTGTCTAGTGAGTGATCCAACTCCAGAAGTCCACCCTGCTTCCTGGAATTCCTCTGGGTACCAACTATCTTAGGTCAGACTCTCTGGAAACAGAGCCTAGCCAGTGATTTATTGATGGAATACTCTTCAGGAAAAACCTTTCAGTAGTAAGGGAAGAAGAACAGGGAAGGGAAAGAACCAAGCAAAGATTTGCTAAAGTCTAGCCTGAGCTTGGGCTTTTTATTTGGGAAAACCTGCCCTATCTCCTGTCACCTGGCTAACCCTTTTAAGAGTCATCAGGTCTAATAACTCCTCTTTTGGAGAGGATTCACTGACCTCCTCTATCTCGGCTAGGTTTTCCTTTTATGTGATGTTATAGCAACCCACGGTAAATTGCGCCTTCCACTTATCACATGGTATTATAATTGTCTTTCTAATTTCTACTTGTTTGAGGAGAGAAAAGAAAAAGGAGTTTTCCAAAATACATATGGTAGCCCTCTCTCTAAGGCTCTCAGTATGCCTTAGGGTGAGGGGAGGGATAGAAAA